GTACGTACTCTATATATATATATATATATATATATATATATATATATACATATAGATATTCTCTATATAAATTTCTCTATATATATTTTGTTTTTCTATATATATAGCGAGGCAACAACCTTAAATGTGTATTTCAAATGTTGAAAATTTAAATCACCTAATGCTTGAGCTTCAACTCCAGAGTCCGCTAGTTCCTTGGCCCTATCCAATTGTTCTTGATAACACTTAACTGCGTGTGTATATTGTCCTAGTGCCATGTGTACCGCACCCAGATTTCCATGCGCTCTACATTCGCCGCGCAAATCACCGGCTTCTTGCCGCAGAGTTAACTCTTGCGTGTGAAAACCCAACGCCTTATCCAAATTCTTTGTAGCTCGATGAGCGATTCCCAATGCACCGTAGGCAGCCGCTTCCAGACTACGATCGGCGGCTTGACGGGCCAAATTCAACTGGCGCTGATGCATTTTGATGGCTTCATCAACCTCTCCCATGCGCAATAAACAGTCACCGATATTTCCCAAAGCACGAAACTTGCCGACCAGATGCTTGGTCATGTGCGCGATTGCTATATTTAACAATTAAAAATTAGTTATATATCTATGTAAATATTTTTTATTATAGAGATTTTTACAAAGATCAGTGATGTGTTATAAAGAACAATTCTGCTTGTAAATCTTTGAATGCCCCTTCGCGGGCACCCTGTATATATTTTTTAGATTTATATTTATATTCTTTTATTTTATAAAAAAAATTTGTTACTCGTGACAGTTTTACCTAAATAATATTTTTGGCATTCCAGAGCGGTGTCCAGATTTTCCAGTGCTAAATGAGCTAATCCTAGATTGCAATAAGCTCTTCCCATTCCAGATTTATCCTGCAAGTCTTTTGCCAGCGCCAAGTCTTGATCGTAGTATCTGACCGCTTCCCGATGATTTCCCAGGCAATAGTGTGCGTATCCCAAAAAGTGGCATGCTTTAGCTTCACCCTCCACATCGTGCAACTCTTGCGACAGCATCAGGTAGTGCTCGTAATAAGGCACTGCTTCCTCGAATCTGCCGCGCGAGGAGAGGCAGTTGGCGAGATTCAGCAAAGCGCACGCCTCGCCGGCTGTGTCCTTTAGTTCGCGCGCAATGGCCAAATGTGCTCTGTAGTGTCTCAATGCTGCTTCGTGGCCTTGCACAGCCTGATACGCGACAGCCAAGTTTCCGTGGGTGCTAGCTTCTGAACTACGATCGTTCACCTGTGTAAATTGAGCAATAATTGTCATTAATAAAAAATTTTGTAATGATGATGATACATTTTCTTTAATATATTGAATTCTCTTTAACGCATACATTTCTTCTAACACTCAGCGTTAGAAACAATTTACTTGCATCTGGGACTAAATTGGTTTTTTCCCTTCCCTTCTTATTAATTTTGTTTTTTACTTTACTTTTATAAAATTTTCCTTTCTTTTTTATTTCTGCTTGTGACTCATCAATAGTTACGTGATTACACCAAGTAATTTTACATATTCGGGCCATGTTTCTAGGAAAAATGACCACTGGTGATCATACGACGAATGTGTTAAAATATTGAGATAAGAGAATCTTACTTCTTTGCTTATTGTTAATTCTTGTTTGTGGTACTTGATGGCTTGTTCGTAATAACCCAAGGCGTTATAAGCGTTGCCGATATTTCCGTATGCTCTACCCATGCCGGCTTTATCACCTAATGATCTCGCAATTCCCAAGTGAGCCTGATGTAACTTCAAGGCAGCATCATGTTCGCCGAGCAATTGATACACTATGCCCAGATTGCTGCAAGCTCGTCCCTCGGCCACCTTGTCCTTCGTAGTTAATGCGACATCAAGCTGCCTTTGATGCCAAAGTTTGGCTTGCGCTAGATCGCCTATACATATTAATGAAATTATGTTCTTTCTTAATAAAAATTAAAAGAAATAATATATACTAGTGCAACAATACTAGTATCGTTCTAAATTTAGTATCCAATTGGAGTATTGTTCAAATTTTAGTGTACTGTTAGCAATTATTTGCAAATTATTACAAATTAATAACAATAATATAAGAGCAAAAATGCCAACGTAGAATTTTCGTGCCATTTTATATACATATGAGAGGTTCAGAGGAAAAATGGATCAAGTCCATTTTTGTTAATTATTAGAAAATTAATTCTAAAATTAAAGTTATTCTAATTGTGTGCAACGTGTACACTGTTTTTCATAGATACTATAGCTTTTTTTTTTATTTTAACTTAAATATTTGCACTCACTTTTAAATTATTCAGTGAAATCAGTTTTTTTAATTTATATATAAATTTAGAAAAGGTCGATCCACTTTCTTTCTGAACTCCTCATATATTCAAATCATTACATTAGTGTACAAATAACAATAAAAAATGACAAATAATTCAATTTATATTAAATTCATCCTCTTAGTGTCAAAATATAATCTGTCATATTTAAAATCTTTAAAATATATACGTATAAATGTTTAGATTACATATATATATGTCCTTATATATTGGCCCCATCTTCTAATTAAATCCTTTTCGTTACGACAGTTAACAAAATGACATTAGTCGATAATCCGCAAGCTGACATACTTGAATATTTTTGTGCTTCAAATAAAAAGACCAACAATATATATTTTTAATTTTTGATATCACACATCCGAAGATATTTATATGGATCTTATTAATAGATAAGGCCAATTGTACACAGATCTTATGTGATATATTGTTAGTTAAATATATATGTATAAACTGAACATTTATATATATATATTTTTTTAATTTTAAATGTGACTATATTGAGAATGATCTGACGTAAATCGAAACGTTTGTCATGTTATTATTTCTATACTGATGTAACAGTTTTAATATACATATATAAAACACCATGAAAATTCTACATTGGCTCTTTTTGCTCTTATATTACCATCATTAATTGTGAAAATCACACAGAGCCTTACTAAATCATTTTTATTACAAATTAGTTATTACTTACTTCCTAATTACTATTATTATAATTATACATTACAAATTTTACAATTAAATTATCATCATCACCTGCGCATCTAGCGGCATGGCCTAAGCCCGCGTATGCTCTGGTTTCTATCGCCCTATCTTTAAGTTCCTGCGCTATTCTCAGAACGTTTTCGTGATAGGCCATCGCCTGGCCGAAATTTCGCCGATAATGATGAGACGATCCCAAGTTGCTGAAAGCCCTCGCCTCTTCCACACGATCGCCCAGCCGTCTGGCTATCCTCAAGTGTTGCGTGTGGCAATCAACGGCGCTTTCAAACTCTCCCATCGCCAAATAGACTGCACCGACGTTACCAATTTCACGAGCTTCTTGCAGTCGATCTCCCATCTGCTTCACCAATTGCACACATTGTTTGTGGGAGGCCAGTGCGTTCGGTAGATCGCCGATCGCTGTATACACGTGTCCCAAGCTAGTCAAAGCCGAAGCTGCCGCCTGCGTATCCTTGCACTTCATAGCCAAAACAAGCTGGTATCTGTGAGCCGTTAAAGCCTCTTTGAAACTGCCCTTGCTGAAATAAGCGGAGCCCAAATTTCCGTGAGCTCTGCACTCGCCCTGCGTATCTCCCAGAGAACGCGCCACTCCTAAAAATCGATGAAAAATTGTCTCATTACACTTGTAAATTGTAAATCACAGGCCACAGTGCAAAAATTACTTTGACAATAGCAATAATATTCTGTTACTTCCACTTACCTAGATCTTGTTGCATGTAATTTATCGCCTTGTCCAGAGAGTTTAGTGCCCAGTATGCGCTGGACAAAGCCGAGAACACGGAGCCTCGCAATTTCAGGCTACACGAGCCAATGGTGAGCGCGGCCTCCAGCACGCCAGCAGCCGCTCTGTATTGTCCAGCTCCGAGCAATTCTTGACCAACTACGGATATAACGACGAACGGTGACTCATCGAGCTTCATCGCGCGCAACTGTTGGAACGTCGGTTCTAAGGTCGACCGCAACGGGGATTTGAGGGATGCTTCCACTAAACCGGATAATAATTGATGATTGGATGCATCGTGAGCTAATCCCGTACTGAACGCAACGAGAGCTTCTCCGTGGCGTCCTAGGCATTGCAGCGCTACTCCTTGCCGATAGTATGCCTAATGAAAAAAAAAGATTATTATGGATCTGAAATTATGCAATGCACCAAAAAAGCAAGAAAATGTACGTACCTTTGGCCATTGTGGACTCAGCTCGGTGGCTCTGACGGCATCCTGTAATGCGAGTGCGAATAATCCCATTTTGAGCCTTGCGGCTGACCGGTTTGAGTATAATACATGACTAAGAGGGTCCAGGGCAAGAGCCTCCGTATACAATGTCGCGGCGAGCGCGTAATCTCCATTTTGGCATGCCGCGTTACTTCTGCGTACCGTCTCTAAGAATAATGTCCTGGATCCAGCGGCCAAGGCCGACGTACCTTCGGGCTCCACCTTGCAAATCGTGAGATTTAAATGTTTTGAGCATCGCAATTATTTCTTCTGTTAAGCCGCTTCTGTTAAGATATATATACTGATCATGTATATTACTTCTAATAACACAGAACTCTAAAAAAATCAAGATATCTATATATAAATTAAGATAAAATCATGTATAAAGATATACAAAAAAAAGCTACCATAAATAAATATAAAGCATTACTTTTATTCTCAATTGTGGAATAAAAGCATTGGAAAGTGTTCAATACACAATGTTAAATACTCAATCAATAATTTATAAATATAAGATTACATTAAAAAAATTAAATTATAACTTTATAAAATTTCAAATAAGGCCAACAAATAAAGGAAACATATTTTTTACTCCAACAATCAATAATATACATAATTAGCTTCTTATTTATTAAGTAAAAAAGTATTAAGTAAGAAAAGATTAATACAAATTAATATTATTGAACTACACAAGTTAAATAAATTAAAAGATACATAATTAATTGAACAAAACTGATTTTAATAAACATATACAAAAAATCGAACCAACTCAAATCGAAAGGAATCTTTATATAGTAAAAAGAAATCAAAATATTGTATAATAATAATGTATAAAAATGAGAATACTGGTCCAAATCCGGATGGGTCAATTAGGAATCTCGTCATTACCTCAGAGATATCCCTATGAGACATTGTTTAAGACGAGCTAGTAGCATCCTCTGGCATGGGCATCATCTGCGACGCGGCGAACTGGCGTGAAAATCAGGCCTCCAGATTTTGAATGTGCCCGAAACTTCTCTCTCTCTCTGTCCCTCTCTCCCGGTGGGACTTATTTTGGCGCCTTTCCTCGACGTTCGGCTGATTCTCGGCTTCACAATAGCACTCGACGCATACGCGCATTACATTGTTTTACCGTACATAAGCAAACAATAATAGGGGGATAAATTCTTTTCGCTAAAACGGGCAAATGAGACCGATTAATAAAAAAGGAGGGAGACAGGCGTCTTAGGGGGGCACCCACTGCATTCCTCAGGCACAGCCATCTTGGAATGTGACCCCGGGTCCCCCCGTTGGGCCCAAAGCGGGGCCGGCACTGCCGCTTGCCGTTTGCCCGGTGCTGTTTGCTGCTTCTCTATGCATCTCTCTCCTCATTTGGCCTCATCCGGCCTCCAGTAAATCCTGGCCACGATTGCGTTGACTGCGCACTTTGCAACACTATTATCAACATACGAGTGTGTAAAATAAGCACACACGCGTGCACATATATTCACGTATAAAACGTGGACCACGGGTGCGAAAATGTCGGATCCGCAATAAGTCCAAACAGCAGCTGCTCTGCGTTACATGAAAGCATTTGCATTCTAAATATCTTTCAAGGCTTATAAATCTTAAATCTCATTTAAAAATATTGATTATCCAGATATTATATTTCGAGACCACTGGACGCTCTTTGAATTAACTTTAAATTAACCAATGAATTTGTTTCACAATGATTTCTTAATGATAGAATAGCTCATATAAAATAACAGGTACAAATAGAAAAGAAGTTTCTTTTTGTACAGTGAGAGGAAATAAGTTATTTATTTTTATATAAATCAAATTAAAAATTTTATATTTAAAAATCAATTAATATTTATTTTAATTAATATTATTTGTTTAATAATTTATAATTGTTATCTTTAATTTTCTACGTTCAACACGATTTATAATTCTAATTATTCTGTTTTCTGAAATCAAATAGAAGTTGAATACTTCAAGTATATCTTAAAAAAAAATTTATACGTCTCTAAATTAAGACAGCAGTTTCTAAATTAGCTTTACAGAGAAATTCTCCTGGAATTTTGCCAATTTATACTAAAAAAAATGTATTACTCTAGAAAAAAAAATTATACATATATAAACCACAGTCGATTCTGGTTAATTGGGTCGGTTAATTCGGGCAGCTGTTTACAAAGCAGCTTGGGGACAAATACTAAAAAAAAAAAAATTTTTAATTGATAAAATAGACAGAGTTTTCTTCGCTTATTTGGGACAGCATGCCATATAATTAGGACACCCGCCAAACCTGGAAAACGTCTCATGCAGGGTCTGACGGGTTCATCACCTAGAAAAATTATAATATTTAACGGTGGATTCGAATAGAAATGGACTAATCATTCTTGTGATAGTAATAGAAATGAAATAAATGTATATAGAAAAGTAGAAGCATCTTAACATGAAAAATATATTATATTAAATTCATTCTTTACACTTTTTTGTTACTTAATTTGTTTAAATAAATAAGTCGTAGCTTTGTGAAATGCAAAATTTATTTTTTTATTTTTTTTGTTTTAAAATCAAACTTCGAACAATTGAGGCAGTCACTTAATTGTCAAAATGATATATCCCAATTAACCGGAATCGACTGTACACATATTGAAACGTATGAAAAGTACACAAAATCAGACTAGCAATCCAAGAACAAAAATATCTGAAATGTGAAACGTTAGATCAACACATTATTTTTAGACGAAATATTTAAAAATAGTATAAAAATACTCTTTGATATTTCAATGCTCTTTTTATACTCTTTTATACTCTGATCAAAAGATATGTTAAGAAATAACCAAAGAAAAGTAGAAATTAACTTAAACTTTTTGTTTTTATTCTTTTTAATATACATTCTCCTATTTTTTTTACCTCTGTAACATAACAGATGTGATCCTTGGACACGAGATTATTTAAAACTAAAACTCATTGGAGTCTTTCTTACTCTTGATTATTAAGTGCCATTTTTGTCTCTCTGTACAAAATTGTACATAAATATATATTCTGATATTAATTCTGTATAAACGCATGTATTGGCATATGATGTAACTTATAACTATTATACAGAAACTATTTTCTCGCTTTAAAAATGTATATGAACGATACACTCATACTCGTAATTCGGAACGAATGTGACTGTGGGAATGTACATTGTTGCAGAATATTGTTCAATACAATATTAAAAATAATTCACGAAATAATTCACGAACAAAACATAAATTCAACAAAACACAGACAATTGTACAATTAAAATAATGATTCTTGTGCAATGCACATTAAATAAATGCATAACTAGAGCCAGAGGTAGTAATGTTACACCATTGTGCAAAACATGATTACGTCTTTCTATGTCGTAAATTCGATTTGCATTTGACAGAATGCATTTACAACATTTTTGTTTTTGTCATCTTTGATGTACGACATAAATATTAATCGCTATTGAATAGCGTTTTCATCTTAAATAAGAATATAAATAAACTTGAATAAAAATACGTTATAATTATACTTTTAAAAGTATCAACGTAAAGTAACATTTGTAAAATCTGGCAGAATGTATTGTATATCGAAATGCGACACTTATCTAAGGCCATACTTTGTTGAAAAGTTCCATGAAGGAATCATATATCATAAATGTTATGGCGACGTCTAAACATACTCTGCTCAATCTCGGAATGGTTCCTTTGTAAAATGCCCTTGGACCCTCATTCTTCCATATCTGAATTGCGCAATCCACGCTACCCTTGTATTTCGCGGCTTCCAAATCCCTAAACACAAAACAAATTGCAGGGTTAGAACAATAAAACTTGATAGTGTTACAATAAATATAGATATTAATGTAATAGTCATCTGTAAAGTTATTAATTTTTAATATAAACATATATAAATACCTGCATCCTAGTTTTTACAACGTCAATAGGTGTGTTTCCAAAAACAGATGCTGCGCCAGCAATTGCGCCAAATGCACCAACAACTAACTTAGGAACACTTTTGGTATTATCACCTCCTCTGTACCAGTCTTTTAATGTTTCCATCACAAAAAAACGGATAGCTTGATTGGATCCTTGTTTCAAGATTGTGGGTGCTACTCCTTGATATACTCCTCTAAAACCTGTATACAAACATCTCATATACTATTGTTTATTTTCTATGTAATACTATAATTACATATAAATTACATAAAATATTATGTTAATAACACTTTCATAAACAAATAAAATAGTACGCCTTCCAATTGACAAGTGTTTATTATTGCATAATATGGAGAATTTCAATTTTTAAATATAATGTTTCGATTTAATGAAGCTACTTTTGAAATTCTTTTAACGATAATATAACATTTTTATTGTCCACATATTTAATTTGGAAACAAATTTAAAGCTTATTGCATTTAAGACATATGTATATAATAAGGCTCATTATACTGCTGTAAATTGGCCGTGTAAGCATATGTTGTAATCTGATCCAGTTAAACAATCTACTCGTGGAACTTAATTGGATTTCAAGGTAAAATCATATATACGGTGTTTCATAATATTTTTGGATTACTAAGAATTTCTATATTCTTTTTTTTCAATATCGCAATTCAAATATATTTCAAATTACAATTCCAATGTATTCAAATTTAATATATTATAAATAACTGATATATATATAAATAATTATCAGAATTTAAGAAATAGAGTACTTAAACTAAAAAACTTGCCATGTTCCTTTACAATTATGCGCACTCCATGTAAAAATCCTCTGAATCTTGGTTTAGCTGAGCGTTGATCGTTAATAAATTTCACTTTAATCGTTTCCATCGGCGTTACAGCAAAAATAGCTTCGCATACTCCCGCACACAGGCCTGCCAAGAGCCTTCTCTGTGGATTGAGTTTGCCATCAGCGTCCACCAGTTGCTTCTTCGCTGTCTCAAAAGCACCGAATCGCACCGCTGATTTTGGTATAGAACCATACAATAGCACAGACAAGCCTCTGTATAAACCGAAGAAACCGCGCGTCTTGATGGTTTTTTTCACACAGTCAACTATCCCAGTATATTGTTTGCTAGGGCCAGCTTTTTCATCAAGTTGCAGCTGCGTCTTTACGTATTCTGTCGGATATGTTATGCAAATTTCTATGCCTCCAGTAATACCACCTGGAAGTCAATTGTACTCTCAAGTAATGTGGAAATAAATAATATGTGTATGAATAATATGTGTACGAATTATTAAAGAAGCTTAAGAGAAAAAATTAATCAAGATAAATCTTTCAAAGATTTAAACTCAATTTAAAATCGATAATAAAAAATAATATATAGAAATTTGCTATTAAAATACAAAAAATAACAAATGTCAAATATGACATTTAATTACATAAAATTAATTAATAATGCAATATGCATATTCCATGTAGTAAAAAAATCTATTATTAAAAAATAATGTATTAAAAGTAATTTTGCAATTAATGCTAAAGAAATTAAAATATCTTTATCAAGACTGATTCCATGTAATGATAGAAACCTGTTATTAAAATAATAAAAAATGATATAGTAGAAATGAAAGTTTTTGCAATCAGCAACTAAAAAAATTAGAAGATATAATTGAAATAATTATGTCATTAATTTTCAATATCAAATTTTAATGCAATTTAGGAGCCAAATACAGAAATATTATCATCAGCACAATTTACATTTTTGTTGTGATCATATCACAATTTTTATATATAGAATATGTAGCAACGTATGCAAATCTTATTAAACACAAATTTTATCTGATTATGCTTTCAATCAAATGTGCATCTACACTTTAAAGAAACAAAAAAAGAAAAATGTGTGCAATTAATTTATTACAAGTTATTCATAGAAGTATAGAAGTTATATAAAAAAAAACAAATATAAAAATAGCTTGTTATCGATGCCTAAAAAATGACGATGACCTTGCAAAACATGCGTAGAGGAAAAAATTGATCACAAATTATTCATATAGAAGTAGAAATTATATAAATGAATATAAAAGTCGCTCATGTTATCGATGCCTAAAAAATGACGATAATCTTGTACGGCATACATAAAGGAATAAATACATACACAACTTAGCGAAATCGCGATCGCGCGATCTTTACGTTTTATGCTAGCATAATCGCGCGATTTGCCAGAGTGCGCTGACTCGAAAAAAAACTTGTATGCTTTCATGGTCAGCGAACGTGCCGACTGCGTGAACCGAGTATCCTGACAGGTGTCAAAGGTCGAGGAATTACGTGCGAACGCGCGAGAAAGAGAAAGAGAGAGAGATTGAGAGAGTAACAACATTACCGGCTATGACCCCCTTGAGCCCTAGATTGCCAGAGGCGGCGGCGGCGGCGGCGAAGCCGGTCTCGCTCATCCATGGTCTACGCGGAAATGGCATCATACCGCGGCACGCACTCGCCAACAATTGCTGTTGTTGCCTGTTAGAATCCATATTCGTTGTGGGCGCCACGTTTCTGGCCGTTCTCGTGTTCGCACTATCGTCGTTTCGCGTCCACCTACACCGCTGGACACCGTGGCTGGACTGCTGCCGCCGATACGCCACAGATTGACACTCATGTGTGCGTTCCGATGAGCCTGTAACGCATAGGTTCCCCCCATATTCTTCCCCCTTCTGCAACCGACAACCGACAACCGTAAACGATGACGTTGCTCCGTCTTATGTTATTGCTTCACCTTACCTCTGCTTGCCTCTCTGGCTTCGTCTCCCGCCTCTCGTCTCGCCTGTCATGTATATTGATGTATACTTCACATGCACACTGATTGGAGGACCGGCCATTACAAAGGCTTGTACTAATTTCTAATTGATTAATTGCTTTTGCTTGCATTTTCTTCAAAAATAAAAAACAAGCGTAGCTATGCTATAAAAAAAATTTTTTTTTAATTGGCGTGCAAAAAATAAAAAAAAAAATTAATCAGACACACACTGCTGCATCGATATTTTCAATAGATATTTCACATTTACTGAAGAACTCTGTCTTCTTACTGAAGAATAATTCAGGCTACTCACAATTCCGATCGGAAACTAGAATTTCCGATTGCGATCCGTCATACTTTCAAATTATATATTGTGAATTTCATAAAAATCGAAATTTGCAGTAAATAAAAATGACATAAATGATAAATAGAATAATATGTATAATTACAATTAAAAAATAAAAATATTCAATATTTATCATTGTAATATAAAATTCTTTCTAAGTAATTTCTCTTATAAATTGTTGAAAATATAAAAATAATTTTAAAACTCTTAAGAGAGTGAATCATATTGATCTTTTCGAAATTTATCCAAATTTATCTGATCCATAATAGGATCAGAAACTGAGTTATTCTATTCTTAAACATTTCCGAATAGATACATAATAAATACTCTACTCATAATAGAACTCTCTTGAAAAAGAAAAGCGTGCATTACATTGATATTTTACATAAATATAGAGATATTATTTGATAAAATATTGAATTAGCAACTAATTTATACATAACAAATATATTTATGGAAATGTACACAAATATCGATATCCGAACGCAACTGTCTCTTCTTGTGCAAGTTTTCTTTGTTGTAGCTATGTATCATTCAGCATCATTAACTGAAATGCTGTTCAGCACGATAGATGAAATATCCAAGTATTAACCGTTAACATGTGCTTTGGAATAATTGTTTAACCATGTAACTAAATATAATCACGTGATGTGTGCGTTATACGATTATTGAATAAAATAAACAAAAAGTTGAATCATTATATGTATAATCATTTGGATAAACATTTAAAAAAAACATTAAAAATATATTTGTTTTAATACAATTGGTAGATATGATAAGGTAATTGTAATTATTAAATTTTTTGCTGTCAAAGTTACATGTTACTATTTGCAGTTGTCAGGTTTTGAAATATTACTTAACACATATCAATAACTGCCTTATCGATTGTAATATGCACACATAGGATAGAAGATAAATATTTATGGATACAATTAGATAAATAAATCAGTAACATTATATAATGTTAAAACTCAAAAGTAAATTTAATGTTTCATAAAATAAATATAAACAAAAAACGAAAAATTTACTACATTAACTAAAGAACCCAAAGAATCGTTAAATCTTGGTACATCCAAAATATAGAAAAAAAAACTTAAAAAAAAAAAAAAAAAAAAAAAACTAAAAGTACAGAAATGGTTCGCAAATAGTGATTGATTATAACTCAGTTATGTTTTTGTAAATACAGCCACATATCTATTACTTTTATAAATTGTCATTTCCTCATATTTTATATTCTACAGAGTGGGCGGTATCGAAATAAAAATTATATAATTTATAAATCTTATAAATACTAGAACGCTAATAATTAAGATGTTGATGATATTGATTAAAAAATGTAAATTGTATGATATTGTCCTTTTTTCTTACACACTGTCTACCAACCAGGTGTTGTGTTTGCTAAACGTCGCATACGTCTGGAAAAAAGAAATAAGAAGACAAAATAATTGAATGCCTGGATCTAATATAAAATACAATTAATATTATAATAAAAATTAAATAATAACTTACCGAGTATTTCGGTCTTGATCGCGTATCTTCTTTTCCATCTCCGCGTCCGTTAAAGTTTCCAAAAACGGTGCCCATTGATCTGCCTCTGACGGAGGTCTGAAGGGAACTTCGACAGTTGGTAGCGGCGCTTCGGAAAACGCGTATGTCCTTTGATGCCATGACAATTGTCCACGTACACTGTGAATATATATAGATCACATAAAATTTAAAAAATGTATCAAATAATTAATGTTTCTCTCAACTTCGCTAATTACTTGTTTCTTTGATAAATTCAACATTCTATTAATTTAGATAATAAAAAATATAGTTAATCTGTGTAGGTATAACGTTATAATAATAGCATAATTGCTATTATTTCATGCACAATTATTTATTTAAAGATTATTTATGTTTTACCTATAAGCAATAGCGGTAACAAATTCTCCACCAAGACCGAGCTCTGCGCAAAGTTTCATTGCAAACTTCTCAGGATTATTTTCTTTCTCAGACATATCCCATTCTACTTGATCTACTAGAGATGTGTTGCCCACGTGTATATTTAACTTAATTATCACTCGCTGATCGCATTGATCTTCCAGAATTGTCTCCTGAGGGAATGCTTCTATTTGCTGTCTTATTGCTTGTGCAATTGCAGGAACAAATGTTAAAGGATTTAAATCTAAATCATCACACAACACTTCAGCGAACTGTTCCGGTGTTATGAGACTTTCTATAAAACAAAAAGATATTGTTATTCTAATTTGTTTTTTTTTTTTATTATTGGATATGGAAATACATACCATTTTTATTCCAAGTGAAAGTGTCCCTTAACTTCTGGCCTTCAATTTCCATATCCAAACGAATTGGAACAAGCATTTCTTGTTGCGCTGCATTTTCTAAATTTGCTGATGGATCTGTATCGTCAAAACTATAACAGGAATAAAATAAAAATCATAATTACTTGGCCGCTTTTCAACTAATGACACAAGTATCATTCCGTCTTTGTTCAATATCCGATATCGAACAAAGACAGAATAATACTTGTGTCAACTTGTCATTAGCTGAAAAATGTATGTAATTCAAAATTTTTTATACAGAATATAATGACATATTTTTCTTACCATAATGGAAATGTTCTAACTTTTTTATTATGTACTCTGTTACGATTTATTGGCGTAGCTTGAGGAACTGCATCAAGATGTGAACTGTTTGGCAAACTGGGCACCCAGGCCATCGACTTCTTGGTTTTACCCTCTCTTGGTGCTGGTGGTTCGGTTGAATGCACAGATACAGCTTTGTACTTTTCATCATTGCCCTCAATAATATCCTCCACTTCACTAGCTCTCAACAATGAGACACTAGATGCCAGAACATGTTGACTCAATCCAAGTTCCACTAATTTTTTACGTTCATCGTTAGTTATAGACCTCCTAAACATGCCAGGATATCGTTTGTACAAAGATCCACGAAAAAGACGTAGATAATTGCCCACTTCCGATCCAATGCAGTAGTATTCCCCATTTTCTTCTACTTGAAAACTTATCGGTTTGTCTCCATAGGTACGTAATGCCATTTTGAAACTTATCTTTGCTGTAACTGAATAAAAAAAATAGCTACTCAATAAAATAAAAAATAATTAATGCATATAGGATAATTCTACAATAAAAAATATAAAAATATTGATGTATTTATCAATAATTATAAACACTTATAAACACTAAATATTGGAACATAGATTAATTTCCAACTTATTACAATCAAAATTCTATCTTATTCTTATGTATAAAGTGTTGAATTTAAGAAGATTAACTATAATAAAGATTCCTCTTAGATCACTATAAGCAACATAAAATAAATTAATATTGAATCTTGTATATTTTCAAGCAAATATTTTCGAAAAATTTAGAAAATTGTACACATTTAATTTCACTTAACAATAAAAATTTATTCACTCGCGTATTAAATCTTATGAATCATTCCAATCATGTACCTATTTATAGTTTTCCTGATAGATAAGTTAAATAATTTCAACACACACACAATATTTAGATGCCACAAAACAAGACACTTTGCAAGCGATAGCTAGTGATAGCTAGAGAACATGGGGACCAAGTTGGTTTACATTTACCAAAGAAGATTAGATAGAGTGGAAGTGAAAAGTAAGCGTATATTGCGATCAACGCCATCTATTTAATCCAATTTTAATATGTATCGACATTTATTGATAACATCGATATTTTGTATCGATATTCTCAATATCGATATAACAGGTTCGATATTTTTCATGTATCGATATAGTAAATAACAATATGTATCGATACAAAATATCGATACATCTAATTCGATATTCCATTTCTGTTCTACGCCGAACTGGGTGCTTCGGTGGAAACTAGGCCAATAGTGTTGAATAGCAGACCTAATGCCGAGCACATAGATGTTGCCATCTTCTGCGAGAAATAACCAATCAACGACGATTTACTTATCGATAACTTCTTGAGACTTGTCATTTTTCCTACATGTGTACTAAACTTATGCTTCAATAGTGTGCAGCATAGTGTCATACATTGTTGTGTCAGTGCATCACGTCGTTTACAATTAGTTAGAAAATATAAGTTTTTTCGGGGATAGTGGGCGTTCCATTCCGGTTTTCGTGATCGTTCGCGGATAACATTAGATCGTCTCAACCGCCCCTTCGTCCCGCCGTTGGTTGCTATTAAATAGACAGGTAATTAATGAGCCTGGCGAGCAGTCGCGGCGACTCCGCTCCAGATGCAACCGTTCGAGATGCTCCGTAAATGTTTCATGCTTTTATTTCGTCTTATCAGCGTTTCGCGCTATCATGCTTCTTTATCGCCTTTCTATGTCCACCCCCGAAGCATTTCCCGTATTGTTTCAATATACTTCACGTCAAACATAGTCAAAAATATTGCTTGATGACTCGACATAGTTAGCGCTACGACACCATAGATTCTGGACATTGATCCAGTCTTGGTTTGCTATATAGTGAAATCTTATTTAATTCGTTGCGTATTCTCTTATGTGCAGACGTCTCAAAAATATCATCGCTACTCTCGATCACGAGCTTCTCCACTAGTGTAAATTTTGACATTTTGATTAATTGTGCCATTCTTTTTCACTGCTTTAATTATAGTATTAAACACTTTGGTAATTAGATTGTAGTCAATTTTTAAAGTAAAATTTGAAATAAAAAAATTTATATAAAATTATTTGCTGTTAATAAACAATATAATATTGTTACAATTGTTTATAGCTGAATTAAAATAAATATCAAAGATTTCAGATTATATATGTGATACTAGAGATTTTATTCTTGAGTTACAAATTTAAATAATCATATTTTATTACATGCTGCCATAGACAAAATGACGGATTCCAAGTATTTTACTACTACAAAAAAGGGAGAGATATTTGAGCTCAAATCAGAACTGAACAATGAGAAGAAAGAAAAGAAGAAGGAAGCTGTAAAAAAGGTAATAAAAATCTGTCATATATTTCTTTTTTTTAGTTTCAAGAAAATATATTTGTTTTGCAAATGATAGGATAAAATTATGTAAAGAATAAGCATTTTTGTATAGTTCTTATATAAACTATAAATAAGATGATGTAGTTGGATATATCGTTGAGGTAAGTTAAATATAAAAAATAAAAAATAAATAAAATGTGAAATAAAACAATTTGAATTTTGTCAGATATATTTTTGTGCAAGAATATATTTCTTTTCTGTAATGCTCTTTCTATTTTATAACATTTTTTGGTAGTAATAAAATTTATTGTGTTAATATGCTTGAATTTATATCAATATGTTAAGAATATATTAGAATTTGTTGTAATCTATAAAGTAAAAATGGCATGCATGATCATAATTAGTATCGTAAAAGGCATATTTTTTATGCTTGTATTATAATATATACTAGCATATACTTTCATAATATGGAATATAAATTGTATATTAATAATATACAATATAGTAGCAATTATACATCTATGTGTCTGTTTTAAAAAATAATATTTTAAAATGAGATTGATTTTGATGATAATAAAAATAACGAAGAGAAGTCTATAACTGTTAAGAATATTGCATTTGTATGAGGGAAAATCTAAAACTAATGTCTTCAATTGAGAGAGAATGTGGAAACTAAAAAAAATTTCTTTGTTTTTTTATTCTAATTCTATTGTCACTTTTGTAATGATATACTCTTATTACATAAATGCACTTTTAACTGTCTGTCCAGGTGATTGCTTCCATGACAGTAGGAAAAGATGTGTCGGCATTGTTCCCTGATGTGGTGAATTGCATGCAGACCGACAATCTGGAGCTGAAGAAGTTGGTGTATCTGTACCTGATGAACTATGCCAAGAGCCAACCAGACATGGCCATCATGGCAGTCAACACATTTGTCAAGGTAACGTAGCTTAGCGACTCGTCATTCAATTCGTCATATCACAATTTTATTATATAAATGCACTTTTATGTCCTCTACATACATACATACATACATACATACATACATACATACATACATACATACATACATACATACATACATACATACATACATACATACATACATACATACATACATACATACATACATACATACATACATACATACATACATACATACATACATACATACATACATACATACATACATACATACATACATACATACATACATACATACGAA